GCACCGCACATTTTCACGTCAAGTTTGGATTTTATAAATCACAACCTTGGCGTAAAAAGTGGCGTACGCAAGTTTCTGGGCTCAAATTGTGCGTACGCCAGTTTTATAAATCCGACCCCAGGTCGTCTTTAATATGTCCTGATACGTAAATCACTAGAATTAAAAGTCTTTAGACTTTATTTTTCTTGAGACAATATTTGGTCTTGTCATAGATTTTTTTTTTTTGTTGTTGTCAAATCAATATCAATTTATTTACTGACATTCAATAATAGCCTAAATCATTCATGTTCCACAGTTTTTTTCCTGTTTTCACCTTCACTTGTCACATTACAAGTGTGCACTAAATAGTTTTGTTTTTTCTGCAGACCAACCTGTAACCAAGGGAAGATGTCCACCAGGCTGTCTTTAGCCACCGTGTCCACGATGCCCTGGCTGTAGCGCAGCATGGCTTCGAACTCTGGGTCCCCGCGGCAGTAGGACGAGTTGAAGCAGAGCGAGCAGACGACGTTAGTGACGGCCCGGGTCAACTCGGGGGACAGGTCCAGGGCCAGTCCAGCAGCTGCTGCCTCTGACATGGTGTTACATAGAGACTGAGCCTCTGCACAGACTGGGAACACAACACAGAGGTGTTTCCTTATTGACTATAACGGACAGGCCAGTTTCAAACTATTCCACAGTGTTAAAAAGTCACAGTGTCACATTCTTCCAATGAAGATACCATAAACTGACAAAATAGAGACAGTGCTGGTGTTTCTTTCAGCGTTACCTCCTCCTCTACCTGTTGCAGGCTCAGCTAAGGTGATAATTACCACATTATAAAAAATTTTTGTCAGCTTTTTTGTACAGTTGTTCCAGTAGCAAACAACGCGATCAGTCCAACAGAGGACACCCGTCTCTCTTTTTGGGTTAATATTTTCAAGCTATTTGCAACAAGCCCGGAATGAGCACAAGCAGTGAAATAAACAGCTTCCTAATGAACCTGTTCACATCATGTCACGCTCATGATGTTACCTTACAAAGAGCAGACAGCAACATTATGTGATGCTGGTCTAGATACTCATCCATGGTTTTATGTTGGGCCACACGCAAACAAAACGATCCCACATTTGGAGGTGCAAGCTGATGAAGGGACACACAGAATAACAATAATAAATGAATATAAATATTCATTCTTTATCTTCAAATATTCAAGGTTAACAGATGAATTAGTCACAGCAACATCAACAGATTACATTTCACCCTTCAAGATAATATGCTGAAAGCTTTTTATAACTACTTTTAAAAACTTATTTAAGGTTAACACTATGCTATGTTTATGGTTCCTTTGCACCTCTGACAAAATTCCCATGATTCATTTGGGTAGCGTGTGATTCAGTGATTTGTATATTGATCAATAAGCTTGTTTACTTTAGAATTCTGGTTAAATTCAGCGGATGTCGTTGCCTGTCGTCATGAAAGGCAGGTCATCAAGTAATTGCTTAATTCCTGTGTGTCCGTTAGCAGAATCAAGCAGAAGCAGGGGTGGCCTGGGTGCCACTCCTGGCATCTGATTGGCCACTCTTCCACCCCAATTAACAAGTGGATGGAGATGTTGGATTTTGTATATCCATCCATCCATCCATCCATCCATCCATCCATCCATCCATCCATCCATCCATCCATCCATCATCTATACCCACTTCTTCTGTTGTGGAGTGTTTAGGGGAGTCGTCCTGGAAGGTTGCCGGTTCAATTACCTGTCCATCCGTTTCAGTCGTTCTCATTGGGCAAGACACATCACCCACCTTGCTTACTGATGGTGGTCACAGGGTCCGGTGGTGCCAGTGCATGGCAGTCCCGCCTCTGTCAGTGCTCCTCAGGGCAGCTGTGGCTGGAGCTTACCACCATCAGTGTGTGAATGTGTCTGAAGTGTGAAGCACCTCGGGGTCCAAGTGGACTTGACAAGGCGCTACATAAATTCAAGCCATTTACCATTTCTCTTCAGGGTCACGGGGGTCACTGATGCCTATAGCCATCAGTCACTGTGCGAGGGGCATATTTTTTATAGATTTTGGTAAAGATTGTCCTCTGACACTATTGTACTAAAATTTCAGCAGAGTATGTTTAAAAATGGCGGAATTATAGCACTTCGTAAAATTAGTGTTAGCATTAGTGGTTAGATAATTTGGAATTAGCATCACCGATCGGCGTGCGATCATTAGCTGCTCCACAACAAATGCAAATTTAATAAGTCTAAAAATGACTGAATTATTGCCTTTAAAATTAGCTTTGGGGGCATCTTGAATTTTTGGTAAGCATCTAGAATTTGCTACACTAATTTTCACCTTTGTATATCTAAAATAGCTGAATAATATGTCTGAAAGCAGACAGGAAACACAGACAGGARTCCATGCAACCTTCAGGTGGAAATGAAGACCCCAAACCCAGACCCAAACCAGTGGTTATTCCGTATGTTGCGGGTGTTTCGGAGAAACTGAGARGTTTATTTTCTAAACATGATGTCCCAGTYGCTTTCAAACCCCAAAACACATTACGGCAAAGGCTGGTTCACCCCAAAGATCCGGTGCCCCGGCACAAACAGAGCAATATGCTGTTAAGTGCCAGGAGGACTGCGACCAGTTATACATCAGGGAAACAAAGCAGCCACTGTTCAAAAGAATGTCCCAACACAGACGAGCTACATCTAATGGCCAGAACTCTGCAGTTTTCACTCATTTACAGGCCAGCGGTCACTCTTTCAGAGATGAGGATGTTCTCATTCTTGATAGGGAGGAACGTTGGATTGAGAGAGGAGCAAAAGAAGCCATTTTTGTGAAGAAAGACCATCCATCATTAAACAGAGGTGGAGGCCTCCGTTTTCAGTTGTCCCCCTCCTACAGCACGGCTATTGCCAGTATCACTCCACCCCCTGTTAACAATAAGTGTTAATTAGGTGTCAACGATAGCCATGTGATGTGAGTATCAGTCACATGGAGGCAGGGCTTAAAAGCCTGAATTTTGCCTGAAACTCTCAGACTGAAGAAGTCTCTTGGAGGAGAGACGAAACATTTCATTAGAGAAGAACCCGTCCAGAAGACCTATACAATTTTTTTCTTTTTGAATAATATGTTGTGACTTATATTGTTCTTAGCTGATCACAAAATTTCAGCTCATTTTTTCTTAAAACAGCTGAATTAAAGTCTTTTGGAATTAGCTGTGGTGACTATCTTGAGTTTTCAAATCCAGATTTGTATGTGCCCAACCTATAAACCACCTTGTGGCCACCCCTTGCAAAAAAGGTCAAGCTCGGCCCCAGAACACTGATTTTAACAAAACTCACAGAAACAAATCAGATGATTACTGTTTGAAGCTAACCAACTTTTGCAAACATAAAATACATTACAGTAGCACATCAAGCAGGGCTGTGGAGTGAGTCATACTCACTGATCCTTTCCAGGGAGGCAGACCCCTCTCCAAACATGCAAAGAGCTCCATGCACTATTTTCCTGTGGAACCTCCAGGCAACGCTGTAGTCTCCAAACGCAATGTCTTTCCCATCTCTGGTCAGAATATCTGTGGTCACCTTTTCCATGCACACAACAAAGATGGAAAACAAAGCAAACAATAACAAATATTACCTCTGCTGAAGCGATAATCAAGATGAAAACATTTCAGTAGGACTATACCCACAGTTCTGGGTCTTCCTGCAAACACCTTCCCCCTCTTCAGCAGGACTTCTTTGGCGTGAACATGCTGGTTGACGATGAGGACTCTGTGGGAGCCCATCATCAGAGAGTACGTCTGACCGTACTTCTTCTGCAGTTCCTTGAAGAGCACATGAGGAGCATGCGGGCTTCTCAGACTCAGCAGGCTGCCAATCAAAGGCAGCGCCGGGAGGTGGGGAGGCTCCTGGGGGCCATGCGGGGTCCTGACTCTCAGCCACCAGGCGAGCACAGCCAGGCCTACGAGCACAGACACAAACAGGCACAAATACCAAAGCATGGCTGCGTTATTAGGAGAGGTCCGGCTCAGCTTTGGCCATGCATCCCAGCAAAGAGCTGCGAGGGACGGTGCAGAGCTGATACAGGGAAACACCTTTTATGCGTTTACGTCAATGCCAGAGCCTTGACTCTGACTTCTGAAGACAGGCCCAAATTAAACAAGATAAGAGAGGCTCCTCTCACTGAGGCCTTGAAGAAACTCAGAGAGGAAATACTGGGCTCTTTAAACACTGTGGCCAGGAATGGTGGATTTTCTACACTGCAGTTGAGTTGGAATAAATGTTGTGTGCAAGCCATTTGAATAACTGATTATTTGCAAATTTGACTTTAATAATAATTCAATGAACTGGATACTGCTAAGTCCTTAAAGCTGTTTATACTCTTGGTGCTGCATTGTTGAAGTTTTAGTACCAATAAAAGAAATACTGCTACTTTTTAATGCTTAGGAAGCTGCTGTCCTTCCTCAGGCTTTCCTGTTCTATTCATAAAAGGGACAATTTGCTTTTCTTTCTTTCCTTCTTGATAGCGTTTGAAAGGAAGGAACCACCTCATATTAAGTTGAGAGATTATAGTTTTATTCATGATGGTCAATATTTGAAAATAATATGGGATGTGCATCACAAAAACTCTATATCTGTAAGTGTTCCGACTCAACACCAAAACTGAGCTTAATGTCTATAACATTGACTTAATTACAGACATTTTTGTGTCGTCTAAAGTCAGAAAGCTGTGATGGCTACCATGAACTGTGTCGATTCCAAAAGCTTATCAGTTCTAGACGTACATCTACTGATTATGTTTTGAAAAATTCACTACAATTTGTTCATTGGTGTGAAAAATATTTTGCTAACACCCTGACATGGTTGATTCTAGTTCATGCCAAAGTTTTAAACAAAGATGTCATGCAATGTGCAGTATATGTCTGGAATTTGTTCGATAATTTGGTTACAACCACACAGACAATGGTAACATTGTCACCTGCCTTTCAATGGAGGGTAATAATTATTATGTAAAATACCTTTTGCATATATGTTTGTGGTTTTGGAACATTTTTAAGATGCTCATGTTGTCACACGATTTTCTACAATGGATCACATTGAAAAACATTCAATTAGTTCGTTTTTATGTAAAGTAAAACCTTTTCTATTAATTAACTTGCATTATTTTAATATCTTTGAACTCACTATTCTCATTCAGAAGAAAACAGCAAGTAAAAACAAACAAACATCACAAAGGTTAATAAACTTAGATCTGCCTAAGAACCCTGAACAGTTAAATTTAAAATAATAATAATAATAATAATAATAATAATAATAATAATAATAATAATAATAATAATAATAATAATAATAATAATAATAATAATGTATTTATATTGTAAAATGAAATTGAACTGCTTAAAAGCGCGTTGCTGAATCCTTTTTGATCCTCACGGCACACCGTCGCTTGCCAAAATAAAGATGGCGTCGGCTGATTCGCAGTCGCGGTTCGGTCAGTCTGTAAAAGGCTTATTATCTGATAAAGTTGGCTCTTGTAGCGGGGATGTGATTGCTCTGACCCGCCAGGTGTTGAAGGGATCCCGCAGCCAAGAGGTAACGCGATACTATGCTTTAAATCTATATATTAGTGGTGTAAATGACGGCCTTCGAAAGAATAATGAACCAGGCAAAAAACCGGAAACGGAATAGGAATAGTTTTCTTCAAAATAAAAGTATTTTAGTTTTATACAATTATAATTTGTATTGGATAAATCGCGTGTAGTTTTATTTTGAAATCTATTTTTTCCTAGTAGACAAGTTATTTATTAAAACCAGACAAAAACATTCAATCTTAGAGCTTCAAAACGGTGAAAACTACAATTTTGAAAGTGTTAACCTTCGTGTTTTACTAAAACTCTAAAACTTGTTCCTAGTTTAAACAATGTTTAAGAAAAAAAAACGCGGTGTTGAAATGTGTCAGTGTTGTTCTGCCATGAGAGAGTGTGAAAGGGAGATAACTGTATGGATTAAAGCACAAATTCTCATTGTGGGTTATACAGCAGCATCAGAAGGTTTGGGATGACTTCCAGAAATCAGATAAATTTTACAGATGATTGCTACTAGCATTTAAAAAACATTTTTTTTTACAGTTGTCAGAAATGAATGAAATTATTATATAATATTATATATTATAAGTCCATGTTCAAAACTTCTATCTTCAACTCAAGACTGGTGCAGAAGATAAATGTTGATTGAATGAAGTTGTAAGCAAGCTAGAGTAGGGTTAAAAACATCTGTGTAGATTTATTGTTTTTATTAACAACACAACACAATCAAACTGAGAATTTTGGTCCAGAAAACAAACGGTAAAGATGGAACACACACAAAATTAAACATTAGGACAGTTATTTGTCTTTTTAGACTCTGATGCTAGCTTTCTTGTGATCTCAAATTAGCTTCCTTTAGTTTCCTGATTCATTAACATAATCAATAATATGCTGCTTTTGTCAGTGGTGTACCCAGATTTAGAAATTATTTGTTACAACTTATCAAAACCCAATATGTAATGTTGGACAAGTTTTATTTTAATATTTGATTGCTTCCTGTTTAAAGTTAGCATTTCTCTTTTTTTTTTTTTTTTGTGCTGAGCAATCAGCAGTCGGCCTCTAATGAGAGTTGGGGGTTGGATTCCACCACTAGTATTTATTTTACATTAATAAAACCACTGCAGAACACTGGTCAATAAATCTTTCTCTGCCACTCTAAACTCTGCTGGTTTCTCTTCAAGCTTCTGGGGCAAGCAGCCAGAAACATGGTCCTTCAGGAGGACGCCATTCTGCACTCTGAAGATGTAAGTTTTCACTTTTCTGGTCGCTGTGCGACAACTCCTCCTGTCTGCTTAATTCAGAATATTTAATACCCGTATCTTTTATTCCGTAGAGTCTGAGAAAAATGTCTATAATCACCACACATTTACAATACCAGTGAGTATCAAATGCGTGCATGTCAGCTGTGACGATGTGAAACACGGTTCAAACTGTCAGAGGACGTCTTGCTGAAAACATCTCTCGGTTTGTCTTCCACAGGCAGGAGGCCATTCAGAAAAAGTAAGTCTGAGCACAACACGATGCAGTTTAGGCTTCTGAGGAAACAGCTGACGCCTCTATCTGAGGCGGGGGAGGTCACAGCTGCAGCAGCTGACTATCTCTTCTCACGTTTGTTTGTGTGTCTCCCTCCTCCAGTGTGGAGCATTCCAAAAACCTCCAGGACCAGCTGAGCCACCTGCTGAAGTGAGCGGGACATAAACTGTCTGGAGGTCCAGTGCTGGCCCGACGGGACGCTCGGCGTCGGACAAACTCAAAGCTTCTGCAGGATTTTGAGATCCGGTTGTTCTCAGACGTTCACACCCACTCATGATTAGCGTGAATGTTAGCATCCATTGTTTTGTTTTTTAGATGTTTTATTTCCCCAGGATGAGCTCATTGTACAATGAATATAAGGTTCGATGATTTCAAAAACAAGATTTAAGTGCACAAGTTTGGATTTCGTGTGAAACACAGGATCCAATATAAACAGCAACTAATATTTGGGTAAATGTTCCTTAGCGAGCTGCACCACAGGGTTTCTGCTTTTACTCTGGCTGCTGTTTGACCACTTCTCTCTCTTTGAGACTCGCCTCTGTTCAAGAAATCCACTCCACAGTTTGCAGCCAGCTAGCAGAGCCAGGAATCACTTCTGGAGTTATTTCAGCAGACAGCATTAGAGCCATCTGCTCATGGATCAGAAAATTCCAGTCCATTAATTATGTTTGTATCAGAACCTGATCCCTAAAATATATCCTTTTTTATGCTGACAAACAGCACTACTGCAGTCAATCATGGTCACCAATGAGAAGTTAACAGTCCTGTCCTTATCAAGTTACAATCAGCTCTACTTTAGGGCTGCAACTGATTATTTTAATAATCGATTAATCTGTTGATTATTTTTTTTGATTTATCGGCCAAATCATTAAAACGCTTAATTACATGAATATGAGTAGATATAAATTAAGTTAACTCCTTAAGGATGCAAGTTATTGATAATGAA